TATATATAATTGTGTGTGATGGGGAAGGAGTATTGTCACAGTGCACTTGTGAAGGTCGGAGGACAGCCAGTGAACTAGATTCTCTCCTGCTGCTAGGTGGGTTCTGTGGATGAAACTCAGGTTTTCAGGCTTGTGTAGCAAGTGTTTTACCTGCTGAGTCATTTCATTGCCTGCTGCCTCCTTGTCTGTCTGTGTCTGCTTGGTGCTTCCCTCCTTCCCTCCTTCTGTCCTTCCCTCCATCCTTCTGTCCTTCCCTCCCTCCTTCTCCCCTACTTCCATTTCTCTCTTTCTTTCCTTTTATCCACTCTTTAGGACAGCACTGACTTCGCTTTTTTATTTTATTACTTTTAAAAAATACCAATCCAAATACTCCCTCCCTCCCCTCCTCTCAGTCCCCTTCCACTCCCTTCACACACCTTCCCACCCCACCCCCTCCAATCCTAAGAGAGGGCAATGCACCCCACTCAGTGGAAAGTCCAAGGCCCTCCCTACTACATCTAGGTTGGGCAAGGTATACATCAAAAGAGAATAGGATCCCAAGAAGCCAGTAATGCAGTAGACACAAATCCCAGTGTCACTACCAATGGCCCCTCAGTCTGCCCCAGCTGTCAACCACATTCAGAGGGACTAGTTTGTTCCCATGCTCGTTCACTCCCAGTCCAGTTGGAGTTGGTGAGCTACCATTAGCTCAGGCAAACTGTCTCAGTGCGTGAACCCCTCATGGTCTTGAATTCCTTGCTCATACTCTCCCTCCTTCCACTCTTCAACTGGATCTTGGGAGCTCAGTCCAGTGCTCCGATGTGGGTCTCTGCCTTTGTTTCCATCTGTTGCTGGATGAAGGTTCTATGGTGATATTTAAGATAATCATCAGTCTGACTACGTAGCAAGACCAGTTCAGACACCCTCTCCTCTATTAGGAGAGGTCTTAGCCGGGGTCATCCTTGTGGATTCTTGGGCATTTTTTCTAGAGCCAGTTTTCTTGCTAACCCCATAATGGCTCCCTCAATCAAGATATCTCTTTCGTTGCTCTCATATCTGTCCTTCCTCCATCTCAACTATCCCATTCCCTCAAGTTCTCCTCAACCCTCCCCTTCTATCCTTCCTTCTACCCCCTGCCCCCATGCTACCAAATTTTGTCTGACAATCTTGTCTGTTTCCGATTTCCGGTTGGGTCTATATGTGACAACACTGACTTTTAATCTTCAGGAGCTCATCAAGAGTCATTTCCTGGTCTCCTTCAGCTTTGGGTTACCCACATTCCTTGGTATGGGCTACTTTTTTTTTTATCTGATCATCTTCTGGTAGAATTTCTTCCTGACTCTCCTTTGAAGTCGAATTCTTTCACTTTTTAGTTATTGTATTTTTCACCATTTCATACACAATAATGGTACATGGTTATGGGGTACAAGGTGTTGAAATTGGAGTGGCGGGGCTGCGTCCCCAGCACCCCAGCCGCCTGCTAGCTCATGCCCGAAATAACAACACAAACTGTATTCATTTAAACACTGCTTGGCCCATGAACTCTAGCCCTTACAGGCTAATTCTCGCACCTGGACTAGCCCATTTCTAATGATGTGTGTAAGCACCCCAAGGTGCGCTTACTGGGAAGATTCTAGCCTCCATCCATCCTGGGTCGGAGCTGCCTGGGAGAGCGGAGCCTGGCGTCTCTGCTCCAGAGAGCAGAGCTGTTGGGTCTCTCCGGGAGCAGAGCAGAGTCTGACCTCACTTCCTCTTCCTCCCAGAATTCTATTCTGTTTACTCCTCCCACCTATGCTTTAACCTATCAGGTCCAGCCAAGCAGTTTCTTTATTGCTCAGTGACCTTCCTCCATCAGCAAGGGGGGCATTTCTACACATGTATGTAACATGGCCAATTGGGGTGGTCATTTTACCCATCCGTATTTACTATATATCTTTGTGGTGCCGCACTCAAACCTGCTAACGACTTCAAAGCGTACGTGTTATTGTGAACAAGGCGCACTGCCAGCCATTATTCTGCTCTGTATGTCAGCAATGCCAGCACTTTCAGTTTCTCTGCACAGGCAATTGGACGTTTGGGCTGATTCCACATCACCAACCAAAAGGTGGTGCCACAGAGCCTCTGGATAGTGTGGGATGGGAAGGGCTTTCTCCGTTGCAGGGAGCAAGGAACCTAATGAACTCAGCCATGTTAGAGTCCTTGAATAAGTCGTGACATTTTCTCAGTCCAGAAATCCTCGAAGCGAGCTGGTCGCCATTTTCTTTGAGCAGTTCTATAGTTTAGCTGTTACCTTTTTCTCCGTGATGAGTACCGAGTTAATTTTTGTGTGTCCTTTGGGGTAGGAGTGCAGTTCGTCTTTGGCTTGTGTCTATATAGTTATCCCAGGGCCAGGGTCTGGAAAGGACTAAACACTCACACCTCTATTTCTGGGCACTCATGTCCATCCCATCCATGTATACGTTTGCCTTCATTGCTGACTGTGTGGTTTTGTGGGGTTTGAAGTTTTAGCCATGATTCTCGCAGCACTGTTCTTTTTCTTCCAGATTATTGCTGGGACTCTTTGAGTCCCCTTTGCCAATGTCCAGGATTTGCATAAGAACTCCACTAACTCTGTAGAGGAACGTGGAAAAGCCAGATGACTTTGAGTCTTTCTGAATAGGGGATATCTTTCTCTCTTTCTTAGGTCGTTACTTCTTTTAAACAGTGCTTTATAGATGTCTTCTCATGAGCTAAATGCCTGATTAAATTTTTTAGATTTATTTTTGTGCCTGTGCGTATATGCCCACAGATGCCGGGATAGGGTGTTGGATCCCCTAGAGCTGGAGTCGCAGGTGGATTTTAAGCCACCCAATATGGGTGCTGGGAATCAAACTCCCAGCCTTTGCAAGAGGAACATGTCCTTTTAACTGCTGAGCCATCTTTCCAGCCCCTTATTATATTTTTTTAAAGGTGACATTCTGACTGGAATTGTCTGTTAGCTCTAAGAGGGTTTTTTTTTTTTTTTTTTTTTTTTTTTTTTTTTTTTTTTTTTTTTTGTGACACCCTTAGGCTTTTCTGTATGTGGTCGTGTTGTCTGCAACGAGTTTCACAGATCCTTTCTGATCTGGATATTTTACTTTTTTTAGCTTAACTTTTCTGGTTAGAACCTCTGCTACAATGATGAACTGATGTGGGAAGAACAGACATCATATTTTTCCTCCTATGTTGGGGGATGAAGCATTCTCTTTATTGATATTAATGTTACAAATGGGGCTTTCCTAGATTACTATCGTCGGATCGTAGGAATTTCTTCCAGCTGTAGATTTGTAACAGTTTTTTTTTTTTTTTTAAGGATGAGAGGGTTTTTTTTTTCTTCATCTTTCTGCAGCTTTTGTGATTATCTTTTATGATGTGAATATGCTGGCTGAATTCATTTTAAGAAATTGTTCCATTTGATTTTGTGAATCTCATATTTTGTGACTATGATTTGGGCACACACATGGAGGTCAGGGGACAACTTGTTTGAGTTGGTTCTCTCCATCTAGCAGGTGAGCCCCAGGGATCAAATTCAGGTCTTCAGGCTTGGCGGCAAACATCTTTACCCACTGAGCAATTTTGCTGGCCCATGAATTGATTTTCTGATGTTAAAGAAAGCTTATTTTGGGTGTGTGTGGGGAGGGGGAGAAATCCCATTTGGTCTGGAAGGGTGTGCAGAAGATTGTTATTAATACTTCTTTAATGTTTGCTATAATTCATCAGTGAAGCCGTGTGGGCTTGTGCTTCTCTTCTGGAATGAAGTTTTGCTTGGTTCTGAGCTTGGCGTGCTCTAGATACACGCTCTGCAGCTGAGCTAGACCCTCAGCTATAGAGCTGCCGAGATTCCTTTTGTTTTTGTACTTTTGGCTTTTTACTGAACACATCAACAAAAGAGGTGTAGTCAAAAAGAGGTGTAGTCAAAGCCTGTATTGTCCTCAGACTCCTCAGATTCTCCCATCGTTCCTTCCACCTCCTTTTCCTCAGCTGGGGCGGCAGCAGTGGAGGAGGCAGGACCACCAGCTGGTGCCACCTCAGCCCTGGAGCAGGACAACCAGGCCCTGCCTTGCTGATGAATCTCCCAATGTTGACAGTAGCCAAGGCCTTTGCACATAAGCCAGGCCACAAAAGGTCAACATTCATCCTGGCTTCTTTAATGAAGGCATTGATCTGATCCCCTGTGACTGGGCACCTTGTTGTAGAGGGCAAGGGTCAAGCAGAGGCAGCTGATTTGGTTCAGACCTACGATTTGGTGAGTACTTTGGGTGCCGTGCTAGCCCTCAGCTGCTATGAGGGCCTCACCACAAGGCTGCCTTAACCGCCTGGGAAGAGTCAAGAACACTGGCAGCAGCTGAGGAAAGAGGATTCGTTGCTGTTAATTCAATCTGTTCACCTAGAATGGACTTACTTCAAGTATTTATTTCCTTATGAGACAGGTTTGACAGTTTGTGTTTCTCTAGCTATTTACCTATTTTGCCTCCATAGAGACGGTGGGAATGAACACCCTCTTTTATTTCTGAAATTTGTAATTTTCCCGGAGGATCTTTCAAATTTGTTTTTGAAACAACTGAGTTGGCTGATTTCCCTGCTGTGTTCTCTTCTTCTTTACTAACGTCCACTCTGTTGAATTCTTCCTTCTGCCCACCCTGGATTTGGTCTGCTCCACTCTCTCTGTCTGCAGCATGGAAGGCAGGGATGGTTGGTTGTAGTTTTCTTCATTTATAGCATGGCTGCATAAACTTAGCTACAAACCTGCTTCTATATCATTATTTAGTTGATTCATCCATAGCTCGTTCTCTTCTCTTTATAACTCTCCCACTGAAGATGTAGCATTTTGCTCACATTATTAAACAATGAATGTTGACTTTGCCCATTGAGGGACTTCATCGGAATGAAATCATGGCTTACATTTCTATATGTTGTTTCTTCCCCCCAGTGTCATGTGTGGATTATTGTTACATGTCTTTGCAAGTTGTTTCAATTATTTATTTTTCCTGCTGAATTCTGTCAGGATACCTTAATATGATAACTGTGCAATTTACCTATAAAACCTACATAGCTATAATTTATTATTTCATTGTTGACCATTTGAGCTTTCTAGTTCAGTGCTAATGTAAATAATGCTGTTGCACATTCCTGTACATGTGTCTCGAAAAACATACGCATATCCCTGTCTAGTGTTGAGACTAGAATGGTGGTGGGAGACGGGGCCCATGTGTATTTTCTGTTTTTCCAGCCAACGCCACAGTTTTTCAGTGTGACTGAATCACATTCTTGTCCATGGTAACTTATCAGACTTTCCATTGCCACCACTCCCAGACCAATGCTTGATATTCTCAGGTGTTTAATCTTAGTTCATCTGGTAGGCACAACCATATCTTGGCATGACTTTAGTTTTCATTTCCACAACTATGAGAGATGCCTGGCTCGCTTTAAACATTTATTGACAATTTGAATATTCTCTTGTGTGAAATGCCCATCCAAACATTTCTGGCTTTTTTTCCCTGTAATCATGAATTTATAGAAATTCTTAGAAGCTCTGCAGAGAATTCTTTTGTCATTTACACAAATAAATGGGCATCTTTACTTTTATCTTTTTACTCTCTTATGGTGTTTTGGAATGAATATTTTATCATCATATAATTAAATATTGATAATTTGATAGTTTTCTTTTGGAGTAGTTTTTTCTGTTGTTGCTATTGTTTTTATTTTGGTGTGTGTGTGTGTGTGTGTGTGTGTATGTATGTATGTGTTGTAGTCTGTCTCATGTAGTTTAGCTAATCTTTAAGCAGGGCTTTTCATAGCATCCTTTTATTTGTTCCTCTAAATGATCACAGGGGTCTGTAGTATTGTCCTTTTTATTGGTTCAAATGGTCCTTGGGTCAGTTTAAGATTACAATGGGTCAGCAGTGTGTCACTTTTTTTTTTTTTTAAATTTTTTAGTGCTCCAAATTTTGTCAGGAGATCTTGTCTATTTCTCCTTCCCAGGGGATCTATATATGTTTCTCTTAGGGCTCACCTTGTTACTTTTTTTTTCTAGAATTGTGGACTATAGGCTTGTTATCCTTTGCTTTATAGCTAGTATTCCTAGTTTTCCACCTATGAGTGAGTACATACATGTTCATCTTTCTGGGACTGGGTTACCTCACTCAGAATGTTTTTTTCTAGCTCCATCCCCATTTGCCTGCAAATTTCAAGATGCCATTGCTTTTTACCGCTGAGTAGTTCGTCAATATGTAAATGTGTCACATTTTCTTTATCCATTCTTCAGTTGAGGAGCATCCAGGTTTTTTCCAGGTTCTAGCTATTACAAATAATGCTCTATCTGGCTTTTCTTAAATTAATCAGACTATCTTTAGCCTCTGGGCTTTTTTCTTTTCTTCTGTATATCTTATTTTCACTCTTACTCCATGGCTGGGTAGCTGGCCCCAAGTGTCCTCCTCTCCTTGTTCTCTCTTGCTCTTTTCTCCTCTTACAAGATTTCTCCTCCAATTTGTTCTCTCTGCCAGTCACCCCTGCCTATCCTTTTTCCTGCCTTGCTTTGGCTGTTCAGCGCCTTATTAGACCATCAGGTGTTTTAGACAGGCAAAGAATCACAGCTTCACAGAGTTAAACAAATGCAACATAAAAGAATGCAACACATATTTGCTTTTTGTTGTTGTTGTTTTGAGACAGGGTTTCTCTGTAGGTTTTGGAGCCTGTCCTGGAACTAGTTTTTGTAG